AGAAAATTAACTTTTACTAATGATGCGGAACTAATTAAATATTTTTTTTTTCTTTAGTATTTTTGGTTTCAATTATAACCATAATTTAAAATCACTTACATCGTAAAACAGAAAAAGCTAATTTAAGTGTACGTCGTTTTTGTTTATCACTTGCATAATCAATTTTTGGTACATCAAGTGTTGATTTTTTAATTATTACTTGTTCATCTTTTGTACTTGCTAATGCTTTTAATATAGGATTAATTTGTTCTTCTTTTAAACAATGATATATTCGACTTGCATAACGATAAACTGTTTGGGTATATTCTGATGGTTCTTTACGAAAAAGTTCTTCAAGTAAAGCTCGATTTATAGAACTATGTCGATTAAATATTTGACCGAATTCTTTCATACGCATACGATCATGTTCATTTAATTGTTTTTCTGATGTTGCTTTTGGTGTTTCACGATTTGTATTATGATCATTAGAAGTAATTAATGGTGTTGATGTTGTACTTGGTGGTATTTGACGATTCAACATTTTAATAATGAATAAATTTTTTCACAATGTCACGCAATGTTGCGTGTTATCTAGAAAAACAGATCTTATTCTAATGACAGGAAAAAATGCTTAATGTTCATTTTATTAAATAGATGCCATAGAAGTGAAATAGATATTTATTTTTTCTTGTAATAAATGCATGATGAATAAAATCAAGTACATCGAAAAGTCAGAGATGATCAGTCATTGGATGTGATGTTTACTAAGCAGCAGCCTCTGTTTTTTTATTCTGTTGGCAACGACATCATCAATGGCGCTTTGATATGTATATTTGTTTTACTATGATATATGTAGTAGTTTATAATCGACTAATTCATATCATAGTAAAAGTTATTTTATTCATTTGATTATAACATTGTCTTTCATTAACTAAAAGAAAGAAGAATCAAATTATTAAAATTATCGACAGTAATTAACTTCAGTACACTTATATGTTTAGTTGAATGTATTCGTTGTACTTAAAATAGATCTTTGACCTTCAAAAAAATGCTACATCAATGATATGTATAGCAACTATTTGATCGATTGATGATAGCACTAAGCACTAGTAAATAACTAATAGAATGATGTTTTTACAGATAAGAGATGATTGTATAGTGAAATCAAGTATAAAATCTAAAAAGTTTTTTCTTTTGCAATCTTTTCATTAATAAGTTTGAATTCGTTGATAATGTTGTAATAGATAGAACTTAGACACGTAACTTCAATATGATCGTTCTATAATTGTAAAGGTTTAGATCAAGCAAAGTTGATGAACAATAACTATTTCGGAGTGATGTACGAAAATATAAATATTATTTTCAATTGATTTTTGTGAGATCGGTATCATTCTATTCTTGAGATATTAGTTTTTTTATGTTTTGATCGGAGTGCGGGCAAATGGTAGCGTGTGATGAAATTATTTGGTATCTCTTTATTTTATACCATTTCTTGTAGGCATATTTAATTCGAATCCATATTATTGTTTCAATAGTCAATAAAGTTCTCTATCAAGTTTCAAAAAACTATGTAGAACTTAGTTTTTAAGAGTAACATCTTAAAAACATAAAATTCTGAATAGAATGAGGAATCATCATATTATCTACAACCTATCCTTAAAACGTTATAAACATCGCAAAGCGAAATTTAGTTTAGTTTTACTAAAAAACGTATTTTGTTGTTTTGTACGATGTTTACTTAAAAACTGATTTTATCCCAGTCTTCTAGAACCTGAAAACGATCGTATTTCATTTCTTAGAGATCTTCTTCTCATAATTCATGTATAAAGTATTGTAGAAGAAAAAAAATAAAAAATAGATTGATCTTATATTTTTTAATCAATATGGTACACTATATTCAAGTGCGTAGGTAAAAATATCTCATGATATGTCTGATCGTCATGGCACATCGCTTGGCATCATCTACATATTGGTTAATCGTAAGAGCAGAAATTAACTTTCCAAAATTAATGTCAACATAGAGACTATGTAAAACTATCATTAATGAAACTTGCATTGTTAGAATTCCAATTAGCACATAGTCATCGAGAAAATATTTTGTCTCCTGGAGTTATAATCCTATCTTAATTGGTTGTTTATACACAGTTGTAGAATTTAAAATATAACTTTCCTGTCATAAAACTTTATGTCTCTAAAGTAATTTATCTTCATCAAACATATAAAATTACAGCATTTTTACTCTTATCATGTTAAATAAAAAGAAGCAGAATATTAAAAGAATTCGGCAATAAGTTTATGTACCTCAAGAGAATCCATAATTTAGATTAGGTACTGATCATAAAAAAAGCTAGAATTCGTTTTTCTCTCTACCATTTATCCTTTCATTATAAAGTCCAGTGAAAAATAAAATAGAGAATCCTGTGGGCATGTATTGATGTTCAATTTTATTCTTTTCATTTTAAATACAAGATAGAATATTCCTTTTTCGACTTTATTGATCAAGACAATAGTGACATCAAAATGAGTTTTTATTGCTTAAATGTTGTTCTCATGAAGCGCTTTTATTTTGTTTAGGTCGATTGTTTGATATTTTTCAAGAATTTCTTAAATAGGACCATTACTAACAGATTTTGACAGACAAATTTTTGTTGGGTCTTCATAAATAATATCAATGTTTTTTCCTAATAAATACCCAATAAGAAATGCGTCAATATCATTGAAATCATTTTCTTTTTCTAATTGTTGATCATTTTCATATGCTCGTTTACCTAAACGAGGTGAAAATGCTAATAAACTTTTTGATGGGTAACGATTATTATCACGAGCTCTTCGCCAATGATGAAAATAAGGACGAGATATTGATGCTCGTCGATAACGATCAAACATATTTGAAAAAAGATTTTTCGGCAAACATTCAGGATCACTTTCTTGTTTTTCAATAGATGATAAATCTGATGATAATAAAGATGCACTTCGTTGTATATCATCTAATTTATTTTCATTTTGACCATTTTTAATTATTGAAAATGATGATATTATTTGAATCGATGTTAAAGTAAGAAGATAAATGAAAACTACAGAAGAATAAAAAAAACAACAAACTACTTTAATTTCAATTGATTTTCGTTTACCCCATAAGTTTTGCATGGTGTTAATCAAAATAATAATCTTCGTACACAAATGGTGATGTTAAAGGGAAATAATTGACAATATAGTTTTCTTTATATTTCTTCTTTTGTTCTTTTTTTCTGATACACGTAGTTTCTAAATCATATGCAGACATGCCAATTTTCACCTACATAAATCTCTATGAATATGTCAAAGAAATGAAATATTGAATATTTATCTGACAATTAGTGCGACAGTGAAATAGTGTTGACAGAAACAAAGGATTACTATAAATTTGAAATTTATTCTTGTATGAGTCCTGAAATAGAGCTTTTCTATATTCTATTTAATTAAACATGCAATAGACCACTTAAGCATATATGTATATCTTAGTATTCAATAGTACTGAATAATTTATAAAAAAAATTCTTTTTCATTTTGAATACGAAATGCTTTCTCCTTTTTTTTTTGAAGGTGTTTATGAATTAAGAATATTTTAACTAATGGATGCTGTAAGAGTTATTATCTTTTCATGATATAGTACAATTTTACATCGGCATAATTTAATTAAAAATAATTCTATAAGATAATGTTAGAAAAAACAAGAAGATATTTAAAATCGAAAATGTAACCATAATGATAATGGATTAGATAAATGAGACATTGATATTCATTGGCATCTAATATTGATTAAAGAAATCAAAGCTGTGATCATTTTTAAACAATTCTTTTACCTTATTTTGAGCGATCGAATTTTAATTCATTTCACGCGGAATGCCTGGAATAGCATAATGTATATATGAACAATGTCATTCGTTCACGACATGATACAGAAAAAGGCTCGAGATTTTTACACTGTACATGTATTTCAATTTCAAAGAGTATTTTTCAAAAACCATTAGTGCGTTTTTCAGAGACAATCTCTAAGAAAAGTTTATTCTGAACATGCATAGCTTTTTTACAAAATAAAGTTCATTCACTGTTAGTAATGTGAGTGAAGACTAATATAGAAATGAAAAATTCTCTTGTAATTGAATAAGAAAGTTCAAAACCGAATCCAGAATGGTCTTTCATGCAGTATTGTTTTCTCACATATTTCTGTATTGGTCAAAGCTTATATACACAGTATACACACTAAATGTCTAGATCTAATCTATGGTCGAATTTTAGGTTTTTGCTTATTATTATAACAGAGATACAAGTGATGTTAAAGTTATAAAAAATTTTTGAAATTATCATACATGAAAACAATTGTAGGCATTCACGAGGAATATATGTTTACTTTTCTAGATATAATTTTTCTGTTATGTAATTTGTTCACACCATTATCAATAGAAAAAAAATTATATGATCTGAAATGTATTGATCTCAATATAGATAATGTGGAATTTTCTGATATTTGACCAATTGAGAATGTATGAGATGCAATTAAGAACAGACTTAGAGATGAAAAATTCGACGACGAATTAGAGTTGAAAAAATGAAGTAGTACACCAATGAAAATTGTTTATAGCAGTAAATTGTGAGTACATGAGGGACAAAATACTGAGCTGACTGAAACAAGTGATAGACCAAGATGTAGAGTAAATATATAAGTATTAATGAATGATTTCTTTTTCTATTATCTATTTAAAAGAAATTCGATTTGTTAATCTATTTTCGTGCAGTGTTATTAATAAAGCGTCAAAAAATATTTAAAAAAATTTTATAATTTAAACATCACATGTATTTGTATAATAACAATAAGCCAAAAGTTGAAATTCTAACATAGAGTAGATCTAGTAGGGTCAAAACTTATGTTATACTCTTTTCCGTTTTTAACTCATAGCTTCTGATACTTTCCAATAGATCAAAAGTGAACAAATATCTTGTTTAAAAACTTTCAGATTATCTATTATCTACCTGACTTGATATTAGTTTGTTGTATTTTTTGAGTTTGGTAATCTATAAAAATAAATCAAAAGATTTAATTGATAACTAAATTAAAATAATATAACAAACTTTAATGTTGATATTGTTGTTTTTGGAAGTGAATCTGATCTGTTGATCTATGTAGAATATAAATTAATATGTCATAATAAATCATATATCTAGATGAGATTTATAACCTTCTCATTTTGTTTAGTTTTAATTTCTTTGTTTTTATTTTTATCTGGTGAAAGAAAAAATGGTGACGTTGATGAAGTTTTTTTCATAGAATTTTGTGCATTAATTTTTCTATTATCATCAATATCATTTGTTGTATTCATCCAACTAAGTTTTCGAAGATCAAAACTACATAAATTATTTATTATTGGCATTTGATCAGGTAATTCAATTATTTCATTAACATATAATTTATCATCATCAAATGATAATTCGTGTGATGATTCTAAATTTGGAATAGTTGTTAATTGCTGCCAAGATTGTGTTATTTGATTAAATAATTGTAGATCAGCTACAATATATGGTTTATGAGTATGTGGATTAATATTAAAACCACCAGCAACATAAACATTATGTCCATGAATTGTTTCATTTGGATCAACAAATACTAATGGTCGAACACGAACAATATTTAATTCAGGTGCATATTGCCATTGTTTATCTTGTGGATAATGAAGTATAAGATGTTCACCATGAATAATTGATCGATTACCAAGAACATCATATCCTAAGAAGAGAAATTTTTTTTATATTATGAAAAAGGAAATATATTAATTACCTCCAATGCAATGTAATACACCATTGTGTGCACCAACACCTGGTCCAGTTGTAGGCGCCTATATAATATTATATTATATGATTATTTTTGTATTTTTTTTTATAGAATTTTTACTGGAAGACTAGGTAATTTTATCCATGTTTCATTAGAATTTTTTATTTTTAAACAATAACAATCACTTAATGGTCTATTGTCAAGATCATTTCCACCAACTGAAAAATATTCAAAAATATTCTATTGAATATTTAAATAGAATCTGTACCTGCATAAATACATTGTTCATCAATACATAATCCAAAACCAATTGCCTAAAATATAGAGACAAATATTTCCTTTGTCATAACTTCACTATTGAAATCAAATTTCTACAGACAAAATAGTACTTTTTACAAATTGTATATTTCCATTGGATGAACTAGTTTTCCTATTGATGAGAAAATACTGTTGTTTGCATAAATTCACTTGAACATCAAAATTTAAAACGAACTCTTGCTCGTTTCGAGTGAAAGTCTCTGATTTATCGAATGAAAATCTGAAATTATTATTGTTGTAATTTTTCATCAAGATATATTCATATTTAACAAATTTCTTAAGTTTTGGATGTGACTGTTTGTCTTCTCTTGACTTACACTCGTATTAAGGTTACCATCGAGAAAATCCATCATTTTATGAATCTATCAAATATTTCAAAATGAAAAAAAAATATCTGAACTTGATAGAGACACGTACAAGGTATGAACTTTCGAATAAACAATTACAACAACTAGTTTCTTATTTTCATTCGATGAGAAAAGACTTGTACCTCAAACAAGAGGGATTTTATTGCAAAACTATTAGTACAAAAACCAGTACATCCAATAGAACCAGAATGAAGATATACAGTTTTATTTTTAATCAATGACTTTCCGAATACCTGATGCATTAGCACAAAAAAAAAGGAAAAATCTATCAAATCGTAATATACAAAATGAAAATAATTTCAATGACTTGCTCCGTTCGGTAATGCTTGTGTAGGAATTAATTTGTTCGTTTGTAAATCATATTTGTAATCGCTAAATATAAATTCTCTTATGCGAATTATTAATTACAAGAACTGCTTACTGTGAAGCTTTTTTTCTTTCCGGAATTTGATGATCGTAAATATAACCTATCGAGCAATGAGATTATTAACAATAGAAAATATATTTTTTTAATATACCTCCAACGATATAAATATATTTTTCTGTATGAACAATAGCAAAACGTTTTCTTAATTCTATATTTTCAAGTTCTTTGAGTGCATAATTTGTAGATATTGAAGTATCAGTTACATTTTTTTCAAGTGTTGCTGAATGAATAACTAGTGATGGTTTACCGGATTCTAGTTTTTCATGTCGAATATCTTTTAATAGACCGAATCCTTGTCGAAGACCAATTATATTATATTCTGATATTAAAAACACAACAATAATTTTTATTAATCAAAATATTGTTTAAGAGAGGAACATTATTGATTACCTGCATAACATTTATCCTATTTATATATTAAGTAAGTATTTCATTTTTAGAAACTAGATTTTTTTTTTTAAAAATAAGTATTAGGTCGTACTGTATATTTTGATTTACATTTGATACTAGATGAAATTTTTTCTCTAGTTCGTCGTTGTTCTTGTACGGATATAATCGGTTCACGTACACAATTTATTTGTTCAATAGATTTTTTTTGAGGACTTAGTAGTAGAATGTTAGAATTTATTTTCGGTAATTTTGTTGACAGATTATTATTTCGACACCAAGGTACTATATTGAATATTGAATCGAACAATCTAAGATTCATTTCAATGAAAAAAAAAAAGCTTTAAACTAACAAAATTTAATTATAGGCGCCGAGAGAATACAGTAATGTTTAGTTATATATGTATCAAACAGATGTCGTATTCTCTTCATTCTTTCCTTCTCTAAACAATGGCGGTAATCAAGAAAAGGAATAAAGAAAATCATACTACGTAGTACGATATGTAAAAGATGAAAATGGACGCGTCTATTGCATTTTCACTTTTAGTGTATATTTCTTCTAAACATTTCAATAAACTTTCGATTTTTTTACTTTTACTTCTTTGTTTTTGATGTTTTCCTTTCATTATCTAGATGTCGACAGACACAACAGCAATAGGAAATCCTAATAATGAAACGACGAATACTCGTCGTGTTGAACCACCTGTAAATGTTTATGTACGTATTCGACCATTTATTGGTGATGAACTTGATCGTGGTGAAAGTCAAAATATGTTATGTATTCGTGATGAAAAACGTATTGCTGTTAAACTTTATCCAACAGCAACAAATAATATTCGTCCAGCACAAACATCTTATAACGAATATGAGGTTCGAAAGATTCTTTTTTTTTTCTTTCTTACAAAAATATCGAACATTTTTATACGTATAGGTCACTAGAATATTTGATCATAATTGTACACAACAAGAACTTTTTGAACAAATTCTTGAACAACCGACAGATGAAATATTTACTGGTTCTAATTGGCTTCTATGTACACTTGGTCTTACAAATAGCGGTAAGAAGATTGATCATAGAAAAGAAACAGATGATATTAAAATAACTTGATTATTAGGTAAAACTCATACGATGTTTGGTACACCAAAAGATCCTGGACTTATTCCTCAATGTTTACAACGTATATTTTTACATGTTGGTTATAATATTGATACAAAAGTTTTATATAAACCTGATGGCTTAGAAAACTTAGTGCAAACAAATATGAATAATGTTCAAGATGAAATCAATTATCGTAAATATATATTTAAAGATGATAAAGATGATTATGTATGTGTAATATTATTATTATTTCTGTTTTGTTGACTAAAAATATTAGTTTTCTTTTAAATTTAGCGTCGAAATCGTTTACAAAATATTGTTCAAGATCAACAATCAATTCTTGATGATCATTCAGTTGAAGGTAAAAACAATACAAAAAAAAAGTATTCGTTCTTCAATTATTTTCTAACATATAGATGAACATTATTCTATCTGGATATCATTTTTTGAATTATATAATGAAAATGTACTTGATTTACTTATTAAACCAAGTGCAATGAAAAAACGTAAACCATTACGTTTAATGCAAAATAGTGAATCAACAATCATAAAAGATCTTGTACAAATTCCAGTTTTTGATTTAAAAGAAGCTGAAGATACAATTCGATTTGGTTATGCAAATCGTGCAACATCAAAAACAGATTTAAATGAAGCATCATCACGTTCACATGCTGTACTTTGTATTACATTAATTACATTTGATGAATTTGAAGAAGAACCAACAATGAGTCATATGTGTAAGTTTAGTTTTCAAAATGAGTTTTCAAAAAAAAAAAAAAAAAAACAATATTTTTTTTTGTCTCTTTATAAGATATTTGTGATTTGGCTGGAAATGAACCATCAACTGGTACAGGAAAACAATTAACTGAAACATGTAATATAAATACATCATTAATGACATTTAAAGATTGTATTCGAGTTTTAAATGAAAATCAAACAGCTAAGTAAGAATTTTTTAAAATTACAGTGCTCGAGAAACGTCTCGCTATCAGGTGCAGAGTGTCTAAAATTTAATCCTTTAGTCTTACAGTTTGATCAGCCTTCATACAGAGAAACTAGAAGGTCAACATAGATTTTTTTTCTACAGATGAGGATATCTTAGCATAAAAATAAAATCTTTCCTGCATCTGAAGATAAAAGCGAAGTGAAGTACCTTATCTGTGATACAATATATACATGTGAATTTGCATGAGAAAAAACCTTTGTTGGGTCCTAGGAAAAAAAACTCAGGGTTTATCGAGTTCTATTCTCATGATAGTGAGGTTTCTTGCGACTATTGTATACATTGATTGCGGAAAAAACCTCAATTAATGGATTGTTTATTTGTTTTAGAAAGCAAATGTTATTACCTTATCGAAATAGTGTATTAACAAGTATATTTCGACCATTTTTTATTGGTCGTGGACGAACAATTATTTGTTGTAATGTTAATCCATGTGCGACATTTATTTCACAAACAAATGATTTATTGAAGTTTAGTGCTCTTGCACAAAAAGTATGCGTAATTAGATTATTAAGCAGAAAGAATAAAGATTTTATATTTATGTTTTATTAGACGATTATTGTACCAGTAGAACCACCACCGAAAAAAGTTGTGGTAGAATCGAAAATCAAAGGTCCAAAACGATTAGGTCAAGGAGTACGTGGTGCTGCGCTAGGAAAAAAGAAACATCATCAAACAGTTGATAGTGATGATGTTGAAGAACAATCAGGTAAAGATTTTATAACAGAAATCTTTAATTACTTTTTATTTTAGCGATAATTATTGATGGATTACCCGTACCGACAGATGTACAATCGGTAAGTTTATTGTAGAATATTAGTTTTTGAATTTTATATAAAAAATCGATAGGAGTAATCGATAAGTCCGATATGAATTAATCTTATGACAAATACACAGAATTTATTTCGAGATGATCTAGGCTTTGACTTGAAATTTAGCACAAACATAGGTCTTAAACAGAATAGTTCATCATGAAAACTTTAGGTCTTTGGATTATTCCTATAAAGGCATTGATTTATAAAATATCATCAAAATGCAATATGTCAGTAGCCATAAGGTGAGACTTCTGTCGTTAGAAACATTTTGAAATCAAGCCCTCAAAACTAGTTCAGGATCCGATGATCTTTACATGATATCCTTTAATATACCTTGAACTCATTGTATTTCCTAAGAATTTCTCTCTTTGATAAATTCTAAGGTATAGAATAAACAATAAGAGAAAAGAAATGAATTGATTCTATTTATTGTTAGATTCATTATTGGAAATATTGTACAAAGAAAGCTATAGATCTCTTACAAAAGCAAGCATCAAATCGACGATTATATTTCATTGAACGACAGTATGTTTTAATTTTGTTTTTTTTATTGCCATTTTCCTTAATTTTTTTTTCTTTTCATTTTATAGTCAAGAACGTACAACCACTATTCAATATATTCTTTATCAACGTGAACAAATCGAACAATTAATTGATGAAAAATTAATAGTAAATTTAAGATAATTTTTTTTTTTTATCTTTTATCAATAAAAAAATTTTCATTTTCATATTTAGTTAAATCAACAAATTGAATCACTTAATAAAACAAATCAATCTGAACAAGAAAATTCTAAACATATGAAAGAAAAATATACTGAAATCGAAATAAAATATAATGATTTATTAAAAAAATATAATCAATCAAATCATGATAATGATACATTACGTTCACGTTTAAAAAATCTTCAACAAAAATTTGATTGTCTAAATACAGAATATAATACAATAATTGAACAAAATCGTCAATATGAACAAAATCAATTTAATGATAAAACTCATTATAATGATGAAATTAAACATTTAAAACATAATTATGAACAAGAAAAATATGAAAAAATTCAAAAAGATAAAATTATTGAACAATTAAATGATAAAATTCTTTCTGAACAAAATCATAATGAAAAAATTCAACAAGAATTAATACAATTAAAACAAGATTTGAAAAACATCCATTCAAAATATGACTTATTACAAGTTGAATTACTTCAATTACGTGAAACAAAAACTAATGAACCAATTATTATTGCTCAATCTTCATCATCAACATCACATCCGACAACAACATCAACGACACGTTTATTACGATCGAAAAGAAGTGCTCATGAAGAGGTGGCACTACTTTTCTTATCTTTTTTATTTAAATTCCTTAAATTTTACGTAGGATACACAAGATAACAAGAAAGCTAAACATGGAACACCTGATCGACCTGCAGGCAACAGTGGTCTTACGAATAAACCAAGTACTAGAAAAGTACCATCAAAAGCTGCTGTAAGTTTTAATTTAAAGTAAAAAAAAAGTAAAGCTCATGGACATTAAAGACGATGTTGGTTTACTTGGAAGAAGATGAGTAACCTTGTAGTATGAGGTACTGTCTCTCGAAAATAATTCAAGACATTGTTAGTGACTAATCCAGAGTCATTCCATGGCTGGTAGTACCAATTTTTCAATACAGTACCTTGTGTGTACATTTCGAGTAATGCAGCTACTCAGTCATGTCAGTTCTGGTTTGCTTATGTAATTCCAACTTGAAAAAGCTTTCTTCTAGTCTTGTATGTTTAAAACATTTTTTTTCATCGATTAATATTACTATGTAAAAAATATCCTAATTAATGCACTGCTTAGAAAAGATATAGGCCAACTGTTTTCTCACTTTTCAAACACATATTTTTTGTTAGACATCTATCTTAGTAGTATTTCAAATACAAAACTATCTAAGAGTTTATTTTTTCTTCATATTGATCTCGATATGACATACTAATAAAAAAAACTTTCTTAAAAAACATTTTAGACCGAAGATGAACGCAAACCGACACCACCTATTCTTGTCAAAGATGGTAATTTGAATAAAATTTTTAAAATAATTTAAAAAATTTTTTTTTATTATTGCAAATAGCTAAAACCAAGAGTGCTTCAATATTAAAAAAACGACCATTAGCAGCATCAAATAGTGCTGATTCTCCGATAGTCATAGCTCAATTAGCTGCTCAATCAACATCATCCCCTATTAATCTTCAACCACCTCCATCAATGCAAAATACAATGAGTCCAAAACCATCAGCTATTCAGCGTATTCAATCATTCTTTCGACATACACCACGTAAGACTTGTTTTACTTTAATTCAATTATATATAATCGTTTTTTATTTTAAAGCATCAGCATCAAACCGTATAATTAATCATTTAA